CATTGATGACTTTGAATCATTTAAATCCACCAAAAACTCTGTACCTATCAATGGCTATAGAGATTTCAATACAAGGAGTGTTTATGAGACCATTTCACACGCTTTAATGATATACTGGAACATTCATTCAAAATTGTTATAAGTGAACAATCTATTTTTCTACCCCTGGTTATCAAAATATTATTGGAAAAAAAATTGCCAAATTTTACCAGAGTCAATATATCAGTGCCAAGGAACAGTTACCACTGTACACACTTTTTTTTTATTAAATGCAGTGAGTACGATAGCCACACTGATATTGGTCACAAAAGGAAGAAGAATGTTCAATTTCGTGGACTTCAGATACTTGCTTCGCTTGTGACCCTTCCAGTGCTTTGTGACGATAGTTGTTCTGCAGAGGTGGGTGGGGGACGTAGTGTCCCCCCGGTGGCATTTATTATTTCCACTGTTGGTGGAGGTAATGTAGCTGACGGTCCTGATGAAGTTGGTTGAGGAAAATGACCTAAAAAAGATAAAACACTTAATCACTGATCCTGAGGGAAACAGTTAATTTTGTTTCCCGAGAATCTCAATATTTCCCCAGGGACCAGGCTTGATTTGTTCTATAACTGGAAATTTTGAAGCTGGAAATTCGTTAAACCTCCCTGTAATGGTGGTGGTCGGTCAACACTTGCGAGTAACAGTGCACTGTTACCCTCTGATGTCCTAGCGTTTGCAATGTTGCCCGCTCAGAAATTTAGGTGGGAACGGGAAACAGCGTCATTGTTAGATGTTATGTAACCTTCAAGTAACCAATGAGAATGCACGCTGTTGGGAAAACATTTCCAGCTATATCACAATGAAAGTTATAAAATGTTCCAGTCACTGACATTGACTTTCTCAGCTTACAGCCAGTAGTCATCTGTAAATTGTTAGTTTCTATTGAAACAGAACTAAGAATTTTGAGAACATGCATTTTCCTCATCGCTCAATATGCCTGTGAGCACGTGGACACTTGGAAAAACAGCGTTAATTAACGCTTTTGAAATGAGGTACTATGGGAAAATTTAAAAATATCGTGATCGTAGCACAGAACAATTAAGTCAACTGGGGAGGAACTCAAAGTGGAAACTTAATGGTTAGAGATCTTTATAAAAAAAACAACAGCTGAAGTTTTTTGGCCATAATTATGAAAAGAAGTTAGGGCTTGGGTAAGATCATGTTGGAGGGAAAGACAGATGGGAGATGAGAAAGAGGAAGACAGAGAAGGCACTAGGAAAGGGACATACGGGATGTTTTCGACATGTCACTAACAGAAGTCTTGACCTGTCAGTTAGGCGGTCATGTCATTAGCCATAAAGACTCGTAGGGTCATTAGTGCGTCTCGATCCGTCTATAAATAGAATTGTCACCGATAAACAGTCGTTTATTGTCAGTGAAGTTGTCAGTTGTCCAGACGTTCTCTCGTAGTTAGTTTTGCTTGATTCAGTCAATAAGTCGTTTGTACTGTTGACTACGATTCAGTGGCGTTTGTTCTAAGTTTGTAATTGAAACCAGCTCTCTAAAGTGAGTCGTTGATAGTAGTCTGAAGTACATTGCAGAAATGTGAATTTTCTTACAGAGATATAGTCCTCCTTCCACTTTGAACATAGCGCATGTGGTGTTTCCTACGTCGTGGTTGCTGCTTTTAAGATCACGACACTGAACTGCTACTCTGAAGATCCTTCCCCTGGTTAAGCTCATAAAATTTGAAATATTTCTTTTGACCTGTTTAAGAAAATACAGCACGGGATTTTTTCACGGCATTTTTGTCACGATGGAAATTTCCATACCCGTCTTTTTAGTCTGTGGTCTGTGGTCTAAGCGTCACTCATTTAACTTTGTTTTAGTACGCAATATTGACAACGCAATGTAACGAACTTTGTAAGATCGCGCGCGCTTTAAATTCAACGGCGATTTCAAAATATGTAACACTGAAGATGACGGATGTACCGTCGAAACATGTCTGGAAAATTAAAGAAAGTTGTTATGTTTATACGACTATCTGTGGTATGTGTATTGTACAAATCGAAACAGAGAGTTTCTATGGCCGTTTTTGTGCTACAGGCGTTAAAGTCGTCTGAGACGCTGAAGTCCTTTTAAGACAACTTAAATTTCTAGTGCAAGAACGATAAATAGGTTCAAACTAAGCCGTTCTGTGGCACTCAACAGAGGACTTTAAAGTGTCAGACGTTAAACGCGTCTAGCATAACAATGAAATGCCATTTAAGCGAGCCAGAGTACTTTGGTATAGCAAACGAATTTGTGCTAAAGCGGTTGCAATCGCTCAGCAAATTGGCCATTTCCGAGTTCTATTTTCAAGTGCGAAGATTCTGGACGGGTATCATAATTTTCATGCTGTCGTACGTGTACATGAAACTCTTTTTTAAATTAACGATGTTGCACTTGGTCAAATCAATATCACAGTACCTATAATCGACGACAAAATAAGTTAAGACACCTTACCCTAATTAAAGGGACTTTCTGACCTTTTACCGTCTTCGAAAGGGGAAATTAAATCTTGACCTCTCCCATCCCCTCCATGCAATGTTGTCCCGCTGTTCGAGCTACCTGTAGAAAACGACTTTGAATGGAGGTGAGGGGAGAGGGGTGTGGATTTTTTTTGGTCTCTGAAGTTTCCCTATTTGAGTACAATAAAAGGACCCACAGCAACATTAAAACTGTCGAGAGACGAGGTTCATTTATTTTTCTGCTGCCCCTATAGAGTGGTAGTTCAGCTGCTGTTTGTTTTCTGTGCTTACCAATATTTGCAACTGATGTGTTGCCCAACCAGTTGTAAGCTCCCAGTCAGCTTTCACTTCGTCTGATGGTACTTCTATCCAGTCCCCAGCGCAGTCCAAGTATTGAACATAAAGTTTTCCCAAAAAGTTAAAGCTGCAAGTCATGTTGGTCGGAAGACCGATGGATTTTGAAGGTTCATTTGGACCATTTGGGGAAAAGAACGTTAAATGGCCAGTTACTGTCTCGTCGGTAAAAAGCAAGTCGTATCCTGTGGTTCAAGAAAGGGGGAAGAAATATGAAAAAATTCATAGCAGACACTACATTTCTTAAAATCATTTTAATATACTCTCCTTCATCAATGTCTTTTTTAGGCAAATAGACTAAAATGAATAGCGTCATTTTATATGTACTCTATTAACACAGCTTCGTTTCGTAATAGAGATTATTTTAGAACTGGTACAAATCAAGCATTTCTGAGGATCTGTGTTTACCTATAAAACACCGAATAATAATCTGTTAGGAATTAATAAATAGTTCCTAAAGCATCAAGGTTGTGACGTCACTAGTGATCGCAATCCAAAGAAATGGCTAAATTTTCATAAGCCTTTACACGTGGCTCATTTTGCGTCCCATTTATCATTTATGCGGGCTGAAAAGAGGTTGACACTCTTAGCTACGTTTTTGGCATTATTATAAATGACGTATAAATAGTTCAAAAGTCGATTGGAACCACGAGCCGCAAGCGAATTCGGCCAAATTTTGAGAAAAAAAGATGTGCGAAAGAGAGAGGAAAACAAATTCTGTTACATCCAATATTGATTATACTCAATATCTGTCAAGTTTATGTTCTTTTTTTATAGAAAGATTTGGACCATAGTTTTGGACAAATCAGGGAGCGAAGTCAGTTAATTATCGTACAAAAATTTATCCTGCTCTTCTAAATTAATATTTGTCGGTTAAATATCAATGTGTATTCCATGCCGATGTCTGCATTGAGCATGCTAATTAACCAAAACTGATTACCCTTAACTTGCTACAGAAAGGCCTTGTAATTTGTCGGTAGAGCGAGGATAGATCAAATCCAAGGATTGTTGGTTCGAACCACACCGAGTTTAAAAAATTTCTTGCTTACCTCGTGTTTTCCCTTTATTTTATTTGTTTTAGGGCTAAAGCTCAGGCGGGTTAATTGTTGACATAAGCCATCGATCAAACAAGCTGAACGAAATGTTGAACCGATTGAACGAAAATAGCCGGGATGAGCTCTACTCGGCTTAACGCTCAACAAGTTTCAACATGTTGAACAAAGAGAGCTAAAAAGTTTGTTGATCAACAGTTGTTGTACTTTTCACGTGTATCACTTTGTTGAAGATATTATGTGTTAATCGATCCTACGAACGGCAAAAAGCGGAATTCGTTGGAACATTTGTTTTAGTCAGCGACCGGTTAATATGTGAACGCGGTGTTGAAAAAAACTTAATAACCTGTTAGGTGACACGTAACAGAAAACAAAATCTTGCATATACATACCATCAATTTTCATAAAAAAAAGGGAAGATGCGAAACCACAGCGAAACCACTGCACCTTATCCTACCTTAGAAGAAAAACTGTCGGCCTCTTGGAAGCAGTCTTTGAATGTAAAGAAAAACACCTAAATTATAGCTTTAATTCAAAGCTTTCGGTATATGAGAATTATTTTTTGAAAATAGACGAAGACAAAAGTTTCCTAGCCTTTGTCGGCCTCTTGGAACCAGACTTTGAATGGAAAGAACAACACCTTAATTAAAGCTTTAATTCAAAGCTTTTAGTATACGAGAATTATTTTTGAAAATAGACGGAGGCAAAAGTTTCCTAACCTTTTTTCCTATTAAATAAAACAGACTTAATAGTTTACGTCGATTTTTAGACTTCTATCTGATCATGACTACGGCAAACAAAAACAATTCTTACCTGCTTGCTGACGAGCCTCGCTTACTCTTATGCAAGAGTTGTTCCGTTCGAAGAAAGTGTAATTCCCTGAAGGTTGTTTGCATTGACAGAAGCAGGTATCGGAGAAATCGAACCGTCGAGCATTATATTTATCGCAAAGGGGAGTCTCTCTAGTGGGACACTCGCTTTGTACAGAAGGCAGCTGAATGTCATCATCTGGATCATTCTTGTCTCGATATATACGTAGGGACTGTCCGTGAACAGTCGATCCAATGTAGGAAAGGAACAATAGAAATACATACAAATCGGTCATCTTATGACTCTGGAGTTCTGGCAATCAACCGAGGAAACCAGCAAATTGGATAATTTCATCAATTCAATTAATAAAGTTGGCGATTGTCCTTTCACATGAATGCAAGCCTTAATTTTTGGCTCGAAAAAATTTGTTTTCTTCGAGATGAAATTGTTTTCAATCCAGCGTTTAAACAATGAAAAGGTTTTCACTTGCTGTCTCTTCGCCAATACAGTGAGTTCATGGCGACTATGAGGTCACGAATTCCGAGTTTTCGAGCCACTCAATGCTATATTGCTCTCTATATTGAACCATAAGGATCCACGTGTAAATTCTATTGGTTAATAAATAATGTGCAGAAGAGGCAATACACTACTAGGAAATATATCTGTTTGTATGGTAACAGCAATCCAAATAAACCACAAGAAGAAGAGATGGTTTGTTAACATAAATTTCACCAACTTGGATAACATTAGAAACATTGACATAAAAAACACTGGAAAATCTCTTGGTTGTAAGTGCGAATACAAATATAATAAGAAATAATTAAGCCTTTGTTGGCCCATTACGGGCTATTCATGAGGTTTATATCTCGTTAAGAAGATACCGTGTGAATACCCAATACAGATCCGAGATGAGACACGCAAGCACGCAACTTTACATAACATTGATTGGCTGTCGTAAACAGGTTTAAAGTGCCAATCTTTCTTGGACGTACTATATAAATTATAGTACAATTCAGCTGTTGATCATTGCAAAGTTAAACGAAAAGAGAGGCGAACGTCAGGAAATACGGGTGAAGTGGGAATGGTGGGAAGTCACTGATATGAGCTATGAACTCTAAAAGAACAATTAAATGAAAGTTATTTCATGACGAGGCTGCTTACAACTTTGAAATCATGTTGAATCAACCGAAGATTTCGAGTTATCGTTTCTTATTGCCCGTCTTTATTTGTTTGAGACTAAAATTAACGGTATTTTAATTTAATTATTAGACGGAATCTCGTTCGAATTGTTCGTGGTTTAAAAAAGAAAAAAATCGTTCAGCTCCCAGAGGACTGGTTTGGGACACCAACATGGCCCCCTCCCCTTTTGTCCAAATCCTAATAATTTCCCGAGCCTTCAGCCGAGGGAAATTATTAAGATTTTGTCAAAACTCAAGTACAATTATTCCCTAATTTCACAAGTATACCATTTGATTACCTATTAATATCATGGGTGGCAAATCACGCTCACGATTGTAGGTCTTTGACATGTTCATCGAACTGATTATCGATACAGAACTCCACTCCACGCACTGAAACTTTCGTGCTTGAATGTTCGCTTAACTTTTTAACATCATAGGTGGCAAATTACTCCTTAATTTTGGCGCGAAATGTCAGCGTTAATTATTTTATAAGTTCACATGTGAAATTACAAAATTGCCATGCCAACGTTCCTTCCGTTTCACTCCCCAGATGGCGGGAAAGTTTTATAGTGTTGTGAATGAAGATGTCATAGCGCAAAAATTAAGGAGTAGTTTGTCACCCACGATATTATCAAGGTAATATTTACGTTCACTGTGCATTCCGTACACGCGATCGAAGTCGAACTTTAAAATACTACTAGTACTTCATACAGTGTAGCTACATAATATAGTCTTTACACTCATGATCCATGATCATTTTTAGTCTATTTCGTCTCTCTCATACAACACGACCTCAATACCCAGCTTGGTCTGTCCTCAGCTTTCATTCTCTGGTTTGCGAGTTCGCGGTTTCTATTATTTACTTCATTTGCTTTTATTATTTATTTTTGTCAATTAATAAGTGGATAGAATATTTTTTATATTAAATTTTGCTTTTAAAATTTTTTGTACACTGCATATAAATTACAAAGATCGAAGTCTTTCCTCAGCCTTAATGTTTGTCAGTGGCTCAGACGTTTTCTTGTTGCTTAAGGTCCATTTTTGCAAGTTCAGTCCTTCAGCTTACCCTTGTTATTAAAGACTTTCAAGTTCTTGTTAATATAGTGTATAGATATAATAAACAGTGAAAAAAACAAAGTTAGCCTGCTCACAGACCCCCTATTTTCTCTTTAGAGATCGTGCAATCCACGCTCGCTCTTGCGCACTCGAACATTCGTAAAAAAAGGAAGAATAAATGTCTGTGGACAGGCTAAGACAACGTCAAAATTGATCTGCTCTATTTTATGTTGATGCAAGTTTCTGACATAGAGGCCATTGGTGAGCAGTCTTGACAGTGCTTCCAAGGAAAGTCAGTCATTCATTGATTAGGCTCGTTTCCCTGTGTGTTTTGTAACAGAGGTGGAGAGTAACTGTCAAACGTCAGTTGGTGCTGTGAAAACATTTGAATCCAGTTCATCCAATGTGCAGTAAACTGGCCCGTCTCTTGGAAGTGCATCGCTTGGATTCACTGTGGTTTCCTTTAAACCTTCCTCTAAAACATGATACTCTGGCTTGGTGTTTGATGGAGTATGGTTCGCATGGTCACGAGCATTATCAGTGCAATCATGGGTGCCAGCATTGGGGCCATCATTGGCAGCATCTTTGACAGCTAGATCATAAACACTGTTCCCGCCATTGCATGGATCACCAGAAAGGTAATTGATTTGACGAACATTAAGTTTATCTTTTGCAAAATCCTTTTTGTTGACTGTTGAAAATTCTTCTATAAGATTATACACACGCTGTTCATGACTAATTGGCCCATACTGTTGTAACTCAGGCACGTTCATTTTAGTTTTCCTTACGGGATCAATGTAAGCGGGTTCCGGGTTCTTATCGTGACGCTCCCTAGGGGTGTCCCCCAGGGTGTGTCCACCTTTGACACCATTCCCCGCGCCATTGTAGGTATCATTGGACAGGTAACTGATTTGATGAACGTTAGATTTTTCTTTTGCAGCCTTTGTAAAAATGGCTGTGGAAAATTCTTCTATACGATTATACACGCGCTGTTCATGACTAACAGGGCCATGCTCTTGTAACTTAGAGGCTATCTCTTTTGTTTTTTGTACGGGATCAACGTAAACGGGTTCTGGGTTGTTATTATGACACCCCCCGAAGGTGTCAATATGTTCATACACATGATCTGCGGTAAGGTCCAGTTTAATGGGGTTGGTCATTTCATTGAATGACGGTGTCCTTCTATTTCCTGGCGGGACTTGGTAAGTTGACGAGTAAATAACTGCGAAGGAAGTGACAACGAAAATTAAAGAACGAATTATAGAATTTTTCCCTGAATTTAAGAGGCAGGAGAAAGTGCTTGGAAAAAGAACGAAGGAGAAAACTGAGAGCACAAAATTGTGTTGTGTTAGATCTTCAATGATGACAAAACGAAAAACTTTGTGCAAACAGGGACAGTATATCTCCACGGTTTGTCAGTTACTTTATGACTATAACTAGTAGTAATCTCAGATTAGGAAGTGTGTTCGAGCTTATTTAGGTTTACTGTCAAATGTGACGTTATTTCCTAATAAATTGATGCTGCAAAACGCTTCCTATATGTTTTTTTTAAAATAAGCAAAACAAAACAAAACGACTTCGAAAACAAGAAAAAGGTTTCACCTGGCAGAAGTCGAACCCGAGACCTTCGACGTGTAAGGACACGACACGGCATAAATTATTCAAGATGGCGCAGAAAATGCTTTATGCTACTTTGGCCAAAAGCACTTGATCAGAATAAAGGGCCGTGTGTTTGGAAGTTTATATTAGCCTACAAGTAGTTGCACCGTAGAATAGAATGAAGCATAAAACATAATATCCCAGATTACTCGTTAACTGCCGCCTAACTAAAGTAGCTGAAAAAGTTTGAGTCCTAATCAGTGCTAACAAACAAATTGGTTACACTTACCAGGATCTCTGAAGTTTAGTGGTAAGTAACCATTCTGCTCACACACGTCTGGTTCATCTACTTGAATTGCTAAGTTCGAAAGCGTGCTCGTTACTGAAGGCGGGGACTGAAACAAATAAAGATATCACCTAATTCATACAAAAACCCACTGAAGGGACACAAAGTGAATCCTCTTGGGTACTAGGAATCCTTCCGAATGTCTGAACAAAAAAGCAAACAAAACAAAACAAAATAAAACAAGCAACAACAAACAAACAAAAACCTTGTGCGCAAAAACCCGGGTTCGTTAGGTGAGCAATATTCTTTAACAGAACAGGGGCGTATCTAGGGGGAGGGGGGTCCTGGGGTCCCCTTGACCCCTCCTTGGAAGGCCTTCTTTTCAGCAAACAACCTACAATATTCAGGTGGCGAAAACGCCATAACAATATCTTGGCCGTAAAAGCCATTGTTGAAAAGCCCACTTTTAAAATTTGTTTTTTTGGTAGAGTATTTTCGTCAACGGCGCTTGTCTTTAGTTAATATGGGCCTTAATGCCGCGATAATACGACTGAGCCCGCTGATACACGAGGGAGAGCAGCGGTGAGTAGCCTCTGTGACCTGCCCTTTGAAAAATCCTGGCTACGTCCCTGCAGAAAGCTAGACTTGCGAACTTAACTAAATCGATTTGTAGCTTAAGTTAATATTAAAGGGAGAACATATGGAATATGTAATACAATAACTTCCACGCCATCGGAGTTACTTGCTGTAGAAGATTTTCTGTTGAGATAATGAAAAGGGATATATTTGATGAGTGATATATTTAATACTCTTGTAGTTATTTCTGTGACCATGAATGGTTATAACAATAAAAGAAATTATCCTGCTGCAGGATAAGAGGTTTTGAACATTAAGAGACAGAATGGTGAATTGCTAACTAGATAAGACAACCTCATTGCTGCTCTTATTAGCAGCTCATGTAATTGAGTCTGAAAATTTGGGTTGGATAAAAGGATACGGCACGAGACTATTAGCACTAAAATCTATTCTGAGGGTATTCCAAGGTGCATTTTTTCAATATAAGGTTATACAATTGTGACTGATCGGAGCGATTTGGTTTCGATAAAAGTACAAGGGACGAGATTATAGAGCGTTTTCACTCACGTGGCCAGCAATAATGCTAATTTATTGCAA